CTCCTCATAGTCTCCCTCCGTCCTTTTGCCCCCCCCCCCCGCCTCCCGATCAGCGTCCAGTCCATTTCCCTTTCCTCATCCCCCCATCCCTCAACATGGTCTTCTCCTTCCGCAACACCAGCGCTTTCATCGCCTCCCTCTTCCTCCCCATCACCACCTACTTCTCGCGCACCCGCGTCGGCATCGCCGTCCCGGAAACCTTCTCCATGAACGTCCTCTCACCCCCCGTCCAGCGCCTCCAGCACTACCTGCGCGTCCGCACCGACCACGCCGCCCCTTCCTACCACGAAGCCATCACTTTTCTCAATCAAACAACCCGCACCCTGCTTCCCCGCGCCAGTTTCGTCACGCATGAATTTGTCAAGGGTAAGCCCGTCGCCATCGTCTCCATCCAGGGCACAGATCCCGCCCTACCGGCCGTCATGCTCAACTCCCACACCGACGTCGTCCCGGCCGAACAGGACAAGTGGCTGTGGGACCCGTTCGATGCCCGCCTCATCTTCGCCCACCGCGAGTGGCGCATCTACGCCCGCGGCGCCCAGGACATGAAGGGAGTCGGCCTGCAGTATCTCGAGGCCCTGAGCGCCCTCGTCGCCAACGGATGGCTTCCGCATCGCACCGTGCATGTCACCTATGTGCCGGACGAGGAGATCGGCGGCGTGGACGGCATGGGAGCCTTTGTTAACAGCCGCGCCTTCAAGAACATGCGCATCGGCGTCGCCTTGGACGAGGGCTTGCCTAACGAGGGACCCGCGTTTAATGTCTACTACGGCGAGAGGCAGACTTGGTGGCTCACTGTTAAGGTCACCGGTAGCCCCGGCCATGGCGCCACGTTTCCGGAGACGAGTGCCACCCAGCTCTTGCATGCCATTATAGACAAGGCTATGCGCTTTCGAAAGCTGCAGTTTGACAAGATGAACGCCACCGGTGCGGATCTGGGCGACGTCTTGGGTATCAACATGGCCTTCTTGAAGGCAGGTCAGCCCAATGACAAATTTGCCGCTGGGTATGCAATGAACATGATACCGACTTCCGCGGAGGTCGGGTTTGATATTCGCGTGCCGCCGATGATGGACCCTGATGAATTAGACGACATCATTCAATCGTGGCTCACGTGCGAGAACGGCCAGCTGTGCCCGGGCGTGACGTATAAGTGGATCATTAAAGTGAAGAACCCGTCCATTACAAGTAGGGTTCCGGCGGAGAATCCACACATCCAGTCCTTTTTGGAAGGGCTCTCGCAAGCGGGGATCTCGAATCGATTGAAGCATGGCATCTTTCCAGCCGCAACTGACGCTAGGTATCTGCGAATGGCGAACGTTCCATGCTTTGGGTTTTCCCCAATAGAGATGACGCCCAATTTGCTTCATAAGCACAACGAGTATATCACCATGGATGGGTATTTGAAGGGGTGCAAGATTTATGAGAAAATCATCAAAGAAATGGCAGGACCAAGTCAGAAACATGAGGATCACCAACTAGACGTGTTTTCTTCTGCAGACAGCGGTACAGACGGCGACACTGCGAAGCAAGACCTGTAAATATGAACAGGTTGTCATGGTACCCCCGGGTGTGAGCAAACCGGTCTGAGTGAGCCACGAGGTCTGAGATTCTTGTGCGGGAGGCGTATTTGTGCGACCATTGGGACTGAAGGTGGAGCCGTCATAGCATAGCACAGCCATTGACATTTGAAATCGCCCCCGCAAAGCTAGCCACATCATTGCACATGCCATAGGTTTCGTACACGCACCGATTCTGTGCCGTGGCACGAGGTGATGTACAGATTTTACCCTGCCCAACTATCCACGCACCAACTAAGGCAGATGGCCTTCTTAACAGCTTCGTACAAGATAATTGCAATGGGCTGCATATTTATCGTTAAAGGGAAATTCACTTTTACAACGCCCTCTCCCTCAATGTGGCCGCACTCTGTGACCATTGCCTCATGTGCGCTGTGAACAGCGAAAATGTTAACTGAAGCGAAAGAAGAAACCAATTCCGGGCGGGGGGGATATCAAGGCCTGAGTCCTTTTTTCCAGTGTCCGCGTTAAACTCTGAACTTAAGGTCAAATTGTCGACACACTGCGGTCAAAAGCAAAGCACAGTGTTCATCACACCACCCCGACACGCACCCCGATCTGTCTCAATCTCGGTGCGACAGAACATTATTTTCTGGTTATTTGCATAAAAATCTGCGAGAATTCGGGGAGTGACTGCGAGATAGCGCGCCAAAAAAAAAAAAAAAGCCTACCCATAACATACAAATCATCTGAGGGCCGAACCAAGCAGACTCTCCATAAGTAACGTGCAACCCCCCAACCTTTAGCTGAGCCAACTCCGCCGTGCACTCTTGCAAACCATCTTCTTGCCCACGCCCTCACGAGACTGCTCCACCAGCTACTGCGCGAGCTACGTGCGGCTACTGTCAACGACTGTAACCTCTACTTTTTTCCCGCTCGACCACGCGGTCTTCGGGACAGCAAGTCTTCGAGGAGGTACTCCTGCGTCTGCGACTGCCTGTTCCTTCCTCCAACTCCTCAAACGCTAAGTGCGAGTGGAAATTTGACAGAGGAACGATCAAGAGAGAGAAGTCCGCCGCCGCCCTATTCCTCAGTTGGTACCAGGTCCAGCAGAACCACAGAGGCTGTGAAACGTCACTTTGCATCAATTGAATGTCAAAGTCCAGAATGGCCATGCAGGCCCTTCTCGCGTTCGGCACAGCTGTCCTAGCTATTCTCATCGCGTTGAGGAACCCGCCCTCTCCCGCCACAGGCCATACCTCGCCCGGCTCCGGCTCTTTCTTCGACACCGTCGCCTCGCGCTACGACTTAATCAACCGCATAATCTCGCTGGGAATGGACACGGAGTGGCGGCGCTCAGCGGTCGACGCCGCGCTCCCCGCCGCTTCAGTCCTCGACGTCAGCACGGGCACTGGCAGCTTGGCCCTCGCCGTGGCGCAGCGCAGCCCGCGCACGCGCGTCGTAGGCATCGATCCGTCGCGCGAGATGCTTGCGCTGGGACTCGTCAAAGTCGCGGCGGGCGGCAAGCAGTTTGAAAAGGTGCACCTGCAGGAGGCCGTAGCGGAGAACTTGCCGTTCGAAGATGAGAGCTTCGATGCCGTTGTTGTGGCGTTCGGCGTGAGAAACTTCCAGCGCCGCGACAAGGGAATTGGGGAGATGATCCGCGTGCTTAAGGTGGGGGGCAGGCTTGTCGTGCTGGAGCTGTCGACGCCCGCGGGGAAGGGGGTGAAAGATACTGTGGCCAGGCTGTTCATCAATAAGGCGATGCCGAAGATCGCGTCGCTTGTTTCGGGAAACCCAGCGGCCTATCAGTACCTCAGCGAGTCTATGGCCAAGTTTCCGACCTCGGAACGATTTGTTGAGATACTCCGGAACAGCGGTCTGACGATGAAGGCGCACCGAAGACTGTCTCCATTCGGGCTCGGGCCCGATCTGTACACAGCTGTAAAGAGCTCCCAGTCTGGGCGGTGACATGAATTTGCATTGAATCGCACGAGGGACAGGTACAGCCCTGATTCTGGGTGTGTTTTACATACAGAGACGCAGTAGTAGAAAACGGAAAGCTAACTCTAGATTTTAGATAAAGGTCATGATCGCATCAATGGTATCTTTGTGCGGGTATAGGCTCCAGGGACGGGGGGTCGAAATCCCGGCTATTCCGCAGCTGTTACCGTTGACTGTGGGGTGCTTGGGCGTTGGGGCTCTGTTCTTTGTGCTCTTGCAGGCTGGTCGTCCAAAGAACGAGAAAAGGCCCATTGACTGAGATGGAACGCGAGCGTTTTCGAAACGGTATCGGCAATGGCTTCCTTGATGTATGACACGACGAGCGGCTTGAGGACAACCGTGATAGCCTTATACGCCCAATCGGCAACCGCACCTTCTGTAGCAAACCGGACCTTGCCATCGATAGTAACAACACAATCAGCAATGACAACCTTGGTGCCACCTCCGTGAGACCATCTCGGCTCCAACATCACAGAAATAGACATACCATTTACCGAGACACGGGCTGTGCCCGCATCCTTGACGGGCACAAAGCCCTTGCTCTCGTAGCTCCACCTCCCGACCTCGAGCTCCAAAAACGTATTGACAACACTGACCCTAATCAGCTTACCATCCGTGGTGGGCTTGACATGGATATTCTCCGGTGGCAGGGACAGATTGCTCACCTGGAAGCGTTGCAGCTCGTACTCCACACCCACCGACGTGTCCTTTGTATCGGGCAGCACGAGCTCCTCAAAATGGGCACGCAGGGCCGGCACGACGATTTCCCTTAGCGTGTCGACCATATCTTCCATAACGAGCGGGTTGACGGTAACGGCCGCATCATTCCTCCTATGGCGCGGGGCCTGCTCCGCGGCGCGGCGCATCTCGAGGCGGTGCAAGCGAGCGGCGAGTGCCGCGTCGCCCTCGGCCGCGTGGGCGGGCGGCGCGTCCGCGGGCGGGGCCTGCTCGGGGCGGGTGCGCGCGCGCGCGCGCCTGGACTCAATTTGCTGCAGGCGGCAGGCAATCGCCGCGTCGGCAGCGACGTCGAAGGGGGCCAG